TGTTACAATCATACTAGAAGCTTTCCTCAAATAATCTTGTCCATTTTTTATATCATTTTCCCAATTGGTTTTAATATCTTTATCATCTGGAGTTAACTAAAAAAAAAAAAAAAATTAGTGACATACAACTAAAACATATTATAATATAACCATAGTTCAATTTACCCAAGGATAAATGTTATCCAGTCCAATTAAATTGAATTGTATCAAAAAAGCAATCAATCTGTAAGATGAGCGAGTTAAATTATTCACTTGTCGTAATTTAAATGCCAATACTTCAGTAAGTCTTTGTGAATCAGGCATATAATCACGTAGTAATGGAATAAAAAAATGTTCGGCTTTATTATCTGTATGGTGTTCAAATGAATCTAAAATGATATCTAACACACGATTCGGATCCAAGTTGAAACAACCAATTAATGATTTAATAATTTCAATCATGACTTTAGGATCCATATTATCAGAATTTAATTCTGTAATTAGTTTAGAGTAGCCTTCAGATTCTTCACGAAATAAATTATATTTTCGCTGTTTATAGCTAAAAATTAAAAGTAGTAAATGAGTTTATAGATACTAGACAGATTTAATTAGAAAAAATAACAACTTACAAAAGTTTAGTTTTGATTTTAATAAATTTTGTAGAAAAAATATTATTTAATAACTTAATGTCTTTTAATGAGTCAATTTCTAACCGTTCCTTAAGTAATTTGTCAGTCAATAACTAAAAAAAAGAAAAATGTTTTATTGAATTAGTTATTAAAAATTAATTAAAAATTGGTATTAACCTTTTGTGATTCCTTGACAAAACTTCCAAAATGTTCTCTTTCTGGTCCTCCATTATCTGAAAGGGCTGTTTCAGTATCTAAGTAATTAAAGACATCCATTACTACAGAAGCTATTTCTGCATTGGAACACTGAAAAATGTAATGCAAATTATCAATAACAAATTCAATTCATACAAAATATTCTTAAATATAATATTACCAAGCTAAAATTTATAAATAAAATATATAAATGCATTGACAAAATTGAATTATGACAGACAAATACATATAATTAATGATTAATTTTGGAGGGAGAATAAAAGAAAATTTTATATAAGTTAAACAAATGTTATACTTACTAAATCACTTAAAATAGATAAACCTAAATTTGTTTTAATTTTTCCTTTAATACATGCTATTAATAATGAAAGAATAGCTTTGGCCAAATCTGAAAATAATAGATTACAACATTAATAATAAAAAAATGAATGAGTTTAAAATTATATTAACATGTAATCTGCACCTAAACAGATTATTAAACAGAAAACCCGGATGTTAATATTTATTTTGAATAATATAATACAAAAGTAAATTTGAATATAAAACTAAATTTAAAATACTTTGTTTATAAACATACCAGTAGGATTGCCATTAGAGGTAAATGTTAATGAAAATTCTGATTTAGAATTTTTAATAAATTCATGACATTTTGACAAACTAAAACAGAGTAAAAATTAAAATAAAATCAATTTCGAAACTACTAATTTTTATAAACATAAAAAAAATTACATACAATTCAGTTTTTTCGGTTATACCCCAACCTTCAAACTTGTCCATCTTTATGTGTTTAAATTTAAATTTTGAACAAAACGAAGTATCTAGAACGGAAACATTTCAATATTCACCATTTAAATTAAAATATTAAGTATAAATTATCGAAATGAATTAAAATTCAAAACGTATAAGAAATAATAAAAAATTACAATTTTATCATTTATAGTAAAATAAAGATAAAACAATGAAGTGCAAAGAAAACAAACCTTGTGCTAATAATCGTGGCGGAAAAAAACAAAACAGTGGTTTTTACTTTAAAACACACGCGGTTGATAATCAATTCAAAGAGGTTGTAATTTAAAGTGATTTTTAAGTACGATGTATAAAAAAGATAATAGTATCTTATAACTTTAATAGTTTGTATTTTTAAATTAATTTTACGGTCAAAAGCGTCAAGACACAGTACTATAGTCAAAGTGGATAAAATTATTAAAATTTATCTTAAATCTATCAACAGCCGAAGTTACTGTTTTTTTTTTATTTTTATGTAGTAAGCCACGCACCTATATAGCATAAATATATTTATTTTTTTTTATCAATGTTGACGCTATATCAATATCAAAATTGTTGATTTATTCGTTGTGAGCTTAAAGTTGTCTCAATTAATTAATTTTAATTTTATCAAAACTCTGATAAATTTTATATTGAAAATAAATGTGCACAAGTGTTATTCCTTGTGGTATGTTTTATCGCCCTATCTCAATTTTATTTGTTAATGGTTTACCTTTTTTTGTGAATTTCGTGATACCAATGTGATTAAATGTATAAAAAATGTTATATTATTATGCATTAATTATTGTTAATTTTTCTATATAAAATGTATTACAAAATACAAAGAGAATGTACTAATTTATATTGTCTTAAATATTATATTATGATATCGTTACCAAGTAATCAAAGTACAATTATTTAAAAAAAAAAAAATATTTCCCCATAGCTAGGGTTGCCAGATTTTAAAATCACCAAACCGGGACATCAATCGTACTCGCATGTATTGTCTCCGTCTTACACACGTACTACATAATACATTTTCATTCGCCATTTTCAATAGTGTACTTTTAGTTTTGATATTAAAATGAATTGACCTATTATCAAATGTTTATAGAAGAACATTATCTGTGTTTTCTCGTTGGTTTTTTACGGTAGGTATTTTATTTTTTAAGTGAGTTATAAGTATGAAACATATAAATACATAAAAAATGATCATAATTCATTTAAAAATTAAAATATCGTGAAAAAACTAACGAGGGAACACAGATAATATTCTTGCCTAAAAGTTTGATTCACTCTAATATCAAAACTAAAAGTACACTATTGAAACTGATGAACAAAAATTGACCATGTCGTACGTGCGTAAGACGGAAACAACACAAGGGGTTGCGACGTCCTCTTAAAACCGGGACAAAATTAATGACCTGCCGGGACACCGGGACGAACGGCAAGCCTACCCATAACTGATCATTTGGAACCGCCCAAGAAAGATTATCATCATTCTATATTACTTACATCTGCAATACGCTCTTCTCATTGACAAAAAGTTTACTTTTTTTGTATTCCAACTAGTAGTTTATATAAAAGTAGTATTTGAATTCCAGTTGAGTAGTAATAACTACTCAATGCGACAATGCCCCAATGTAACAATAGTGTAATCCAACGAATAATAATTATTGTAAAATATTCTTCAAGAAATTCGCTATTTGCGCATTGTCTGTAGAAGTGGTGATTGAAATAAAGGTACTTAGAACCTCTTGAAAGAATTATACTACATAAAATGAGTATTATGACTATATTATAGTGATATTACTGATATTGGACTAAATTTAATCCGTCGGAAATTCAGTATTTTATATTTTGAATAATCATATTAAATATTAAAAAACCCATTTATTTTTACATAATATACACTATGTTTAAATGTACCTATTTTCAAATATATTGTATTAATTATTTGTACATCAATGGAAATGTTTTTTCCCTTCTCATTATTTAGATTGTAAGTTATAAATTATAATTTTTAAACAAATCGTACATTACATAATTCTAACGTTCATCAATAACGAGAGGAAAAAGAATTTCCAAATTATTGTTTATAATACAGCTGTATACATCATTACATCAGTGTAATAATAACCTACATTTTAGTGAAAAAAACGATGTCGTTTTTTTTATACTTTAATTCAACATTAGACACATTTTTATTACCTATTATATATGAATACAACTTAAATAACCCTCATCAATTTTGTATAATTTTTTTTTTCATACAAGTTACAGTTAATGGTTGTCATTTGTTTTTAAACATTATTCATAATCTTCTATTATGCAATGCATAAATCATTAAATCAATACTAAGAACCTGTAGTATATATATATATATTTTACGAAAAAGTTTAAAAAAACCATAATCAAACAAAAATAATTTTTCATAATATAATGTTAAACATATACTCCCATCTGTCCGAAATTATGGTTAATTAAATCAAGCAATCTCTAAGTCTGTATAACTTATACAATTTTCGTTGGAAAATGTGTGCGTAGATATTTATTATTATTATGTTCTTTGCGATTTTGTTTATATTGTTTATAGGTACTAATTATTAATCAATAACATTTTAAAGTAACTATTTTTAGTAGTTTAACATACCTAATCAAAAATAAAATTATAGTTTTAATTTTAAATTGCAATCCTCCAAACACAGTTTCATACAGTTTCATTTTTAATGTTCAATCAATTGCATTGCCCTACTAGAAAATTATTCAAACAAAATATAATTTTTTGAAAAATTTTTAAAAAGTGCTAACTACAATAGGTTATTATTTATAAATAAAGACATTGTATCTATTTATTTCCAATATTTGACAAAAAAAATAAATAATTTCTCCCTTTGTAGACACGATATATTGTTTTAGCCCGTTTAACAACTTACGTTTTATCAAAACAAACTTTGATCCTTCTTGATCCACTTCTAATTTATCAATTTGAAATAAACAAATTTTAGATTTTGGAACAAGGATCCTTAATTTAAGAAAGTATTGGAAGAATTGGCTAGTAAAATTAGTGTTATTAATAGACAGTGGAACAAATACGTCATATTTTCGGTTTTAATCCAATTTGATAATATACAACACACTTATCAGACTAAGATAAGGTTAGGTTAATTATCAATGGTTAAATACTTGATCTTGAGTAATAATACTGAAAATTTTTCTTTTTCTCTGCAATTTTATGTCACAGTATATTATATTTTAGTTAAGTAGTATTACTCATCAAATAAAATCATAGTATATAGTATTTTGTATTATAAATGTGTTTAAAGTCTAAGGTATCTGCTAATATTATTTTATATTTAATTTTTGTACTCTTAATAGCCTACATTTTTTTTGTATTGTTTACTTAGGACAATGAACAATGTCGATTCAGTTGGTCCTCCAGATCCAGTATCGAATCTGAGACCAATTAAATATCATATACCAAAACACGAGGCTCTAGTCGAACGCAAATTGCGGCTTAAGCGAATTGAAGTAGCAAAATGGAATCATGAATTTTGGACTAACCATAATCTGAGATTTATAAAAGAAAGGGAAGCATATAAAAAATGTTTATCCGACAAGGGCATTTCAACAGCCACGGCCGATCAAATGTCTGAATTTTATAAAGATTTTTTAGACAGAAATTGGAAAACACATATGACTTATAACTTTGAATGGTATAAAAAAAATATTTCAATTGTACGTTTAATGATGAATAGAAATATATTCAAAGCAATTCAGTGGATTAAGATGTTTAAATTTTAATTATATATTAGAATGCGTTTTATAAAATCATTTGTAAGTCAAGTACCTACTTAAGTTTGTCTAATAAATTATTTTACTTATTCAATAACTGTATTTATACATTTGTTATTATAGGGCATAAACCGCTATTCTACTTTCATTCTTCATATTCTTTTTGTGTTATTATTGTATAACATTTACCTTTCACTTACAATACTTAAAGCAAGTTCCTTATCAAAAGATTGTGGTGATGAGAAATCAAACACTTCTTATTTTCATCTTACACTGTCTAATGGCCGATGGGATAGTAGACGTATGGTTAAGACATTTGACAATGTGATAATAGCAGAACAAAAACCAAGCGGAATGGTTTGTTTAGCTACGCAATGTTCAGTAGATAGATTGTATTCTATTGTAGAACTAGCAAAAAATTGGAATGGATCAATATCGATTGCAATTTATGTAGCTGGTGAAGAATTATATTATGTACAAGATTATGTAAGATTTTTACGACGATGTTATCGATCAATTCGTCAAACAGTTACTTTTCATCTTGCCCTACCTGCAAATCAATTTCCTCAATCTGTTCAGTCAGGTTTTACAACAGATCAGTTACCATGTCACCAGGATCCAATGACTGTATTATCAAATTTAATGAAGCTATTACCAGAAACTCTTAAACGATGGAGAATTCGCATGCCTTACCCTCAAAATCATATGAGAAATCTAGCTCGCTTAAATTGTCAAACTCATTATGCGTTTGTTACAGATATTGATATTATTCCTAGTATTGATTCAGCAATTTTACTTAACACATTTTTGTCAGAAAGACCAAAATGTTTAAAATGTGTATATGTTTTACCTACATATGAGGTTCATAAAACAGCAATCCCGCCAAAAAATATTACAGAGTTAATAAAATTAAAATCTACTGGGCTTGCAAGATATTTCCACATGGAAGTCTTTAAATTAAACCAAATGCCAACCAACTTTTTGATGTATGTATTTAATATATATTTAGCTTACCTAACCATAGTAAATAATTTATTCATTATAATGTTCAGTTCTCAATCCCGTAGTAACCTATAATATATTTGTATACTTGATATTTTATTTATATACTTAAATTTAGTATTTATTAACAAAATAAATAAAGTTTACTAATTCTTTATACTCATCTTTAACTACTGTAGAACTTCTTTGTGGTTTATGAAATCATGGTTCAATTTGCCTTACCTAATTATTTTATTTTTAGGTTTGAAAAAAGTTCAAAAAAATATAATGGTATACACATAAGTCATAAAGTACCCAAGTATCAATTATATTATGAACCATTTTATGTATCATTAAACAACGTTCCAAGTTATGACGAACGGTTCATTGGATACGGTTACACACGGAACTCACAGGTTAACTTTTAAAAACATACATTTTTATATTTACTAATGCTGTGCTTATTTATTTTCAGGTGTACGAGATGTTTGCAGCTAAATATCAATTTGAAGTACTTGCTAATATTTTTACCTTTCAGCATAATTTTGCAACACAGAAAAAGAAATCAAACTATCGAGAAATTCAGTATGCAGAAAATTTAGCATTATTCACAAAATTTAAAAAAGAAATAGCTGCACGATATTTACTAAGCCATTATTTATGAATCAAAAAATTATTTTGTTATATTTTTCTAATTTTACTCGCAATATGTTTGGCATTTGTATGAATTTGTTATTTGAAATTTAATAAGTACGTAATGTGCTGATCAAAGATAATTTAAATTCAGATAAAAATATGTTATATTTCAACATTTTTAATTAATGTTTTTCTAAATAGTATTAAAAAATATTTATTATTTATTGCACATTTAGAATTTTAAACAAATAAATAATACAATGTTTATGTAAATAATATAAGATTTATATATTATAATATCAATTTTTGGAGACCGATAACAATACTAAATCCATTAGTATCATTTTTATCTGGTATTGCACAAACACTTTTAATATATGTAACAAAAAATGAAAATAAATAAATCCTTAAATAAAAAAAATATGCAATTATTAAGTGTGCATTGTTGTGTATAAAACAGTAAATTTTAAAATAAAAACTATTAAAATGTATACAGCATTTTTATTATTTGAAAAAATCGTATAAAACTCAGGTAACGTCTAAGTATTTATGTACAACATTCACGCAACTGGTTTGCAACTATTGTTTATAATTTTATAAATAATATAATAAAAATAATAATAATTAAAAAATCTAGGAAAACAATAATTGTTCGCTTAAAAGTTACACTATTAAATGCATACTGATATACTTATTTAATATAAATATTGTTTTTGTATTTTTTTTTTGTTTTTTTCAAACTTAATACTAAATTCACTCTAAAACAAATCTTTTATTTACACAATATTTACAAAAGATCATTTTTTAATGAGTAAAGAAAACTTTTTTAAAATAATTTTTATGTAACATAAGTTTAAGTAGAACATAATTAGTCCGAATAAACTTGTCACTTTAAGTACTGTTTATTTTTGTTATATTGGAAGACAGTATGTCGATAGTCAATTGATGGAAAATTAAAAAAAACTATTTTGTATGTACAAACAGTTAATACACTATTGGTATTAAACTAAAGTTTTAGATACACCACAATTATGATTAATATGTACAAAAATTACAATGTCAACAAAATTAATCTTCTGTGTGTAGTCAGCTAGAATGACACAAATCAAATAGAAGCTGGGAGATCGTTCTTGACGATTCAACATTACTCAGTGCTATATTTGACAAATGCGCTTCATATCGTTTTAAATGCCTAGAAATAACAAAGCATAAATTAGATGTCATAAAAATGTATTAAGTAAATTGAATTTCATTTTTATACAAACCATCTTCCAGTTGAAGAATAAATGACTAGGTTCCTTAAAATAAGTGCTGATGTTAGACGTATGCTCTTGGTTACAGGACCTTCATTATCATCCTACATAAAACATACATTTCATAAATGATATTATTATCATCATAGACTATAATATACAACTAAATAAAGAAGCTGAATAAAATTTATAACTACATTTAGCTGTGATAAAAAATAAATTAAACAAAAATTATTTATGGTTTAATATTTAGTTACTGTTAAAATATTTTCTTAAATTTAAGATTAAATATCTTAGTTAATACTTTCTAAATATTTTTAAATATAATTTGAAAAATTATATATGATCAGTTATTTATTTATTTTTTTTTTTGTAAAAATATAAATCATAAACATTACAATTTAAAGAGTTTATTTTTAAAATTTAACTAGTTATTACATTTTGAAATGTTTGAAATATTGAACTAAAAATACTTTATTTTTAGTTTAGACTTTTAGAGTAACGCGCCAATAATTAGCCTAAATTTAAATATATAAATTAATGATTCTAAAATGATTCATAATAAATGTATAACCAATTGACATTTATAAGCTACTTAGTTTTAATAACATAAAAATAATAATAATTTTTAAAGCTAAACTGTAGTAATGTATAAATAGAAAGAAAATTGATCTATATATTAGGTATATTTATTAATATAATATTTTGTTTTTACCCTTACATTTTAATATTAATTTTTATTAACATATATTATTCATTATTGTAAATTATGAGTATTGAATAACATGATAATAAATATATTATATATGTTACAAGCAATCATTTGGGCAAAACCGCCAAAACCATATACTGACTTTTATCGTAAGGACAAAACCGTAGAGTTTTAAATACGTTCGCTAATATTATAAACAAATTTAATAATTATAAAATAAGTATTATTGTACAAATATAATTAAATAAACTTAATTAATATATTTAAACCTCACTTGAGTCAAACTGTAGCGTTTTAAATTGTGTGTAGTTCTAATATGTGTAGCAACAAATAAACAAAAATATTATTTTTTTATTATTATATTCAATTATATCTGTACAATATTTTTTATTAATTATTTATTTTAACATTATAGAGAACCTAATATTATTATATGTTTATTTTTATACGAGTACTTAATATCATTATATTTTTATTATTATTTAAGTGTATTTAATTATATCTGTACAATATTTTATGATTATTATTTTTTTGTATTTAATATTAGTGGTTATTTAAAACGCTACAGTTTGACTCAAGTGAGGTTTAAATATATTAATTTTATATATTTGTACAATAATACTTATTTTATAATTATTAAATTTGTTTATAATATTAGTGAACGTATTTAAAACTCTACGGTTTTGTCCTTACGATGAAAGTCAGTATATGGTTTTGGCGGTTTTGCCCAAATGATGTTGGTCATACCTAGGTTTGCCCGGTCAAAAGCCGAAATATGACATTTTGCCCAAGGATTGTGGGCAATTCGCGTTTTGCCCGTAACATATACATAATACCAATACAAATCAATGTATTAATATATTATTTTGTACACAATGATACATAAAATTAATAAGAATTTCTATTTCGCAAACATATCTAAAGTGCTAGTATAATTAAAGTGCTTAATATATAATATAGTGTAATAATATGTTTTTAAAGCTGTTTTAAACTAAATTTCATCCAACAAAAATAATCATATATAAAATAGCATTAATTAACCTATAAGTGGCTAGAATGTTATTCATATATTGCTCTGCAATAATGTTATATTAACAATTCATGAGGAAATTATTGAAGTTATCATTAATACAATTTACAAGCATTGTAAAGGTTGATTATTAAAATATATAAAATCAAAATACTATATGAAATAACTAATTTAAAGAACAATTACAAAAATTTTAACTTTTCTATGTAGTAAGCTTTAATAATAGAAAGAATTTATATAATATATATTAAATTAATGATTCCTGAGTTAGAACATTATTTGTATTTTCTCATAGTTTAATTATTATTCAAGTTATGAAAAACCAATATTTATGAACCATGATGCACGACATTTATTTTAATACCTATTCACCCATAATTCCTTAGTACAATATATT